TATACTTATGAAATTTAGACTTAAAGGAAAATTAACATTTAAATGATGCTTGTGGCGAAGATAGGGAAGTATACATTAATAGACTTAAGAAATCTATATTCATTTTTCTTCAACCAATGTATATCTACCATCTTCTCTGAAAAATACTTAGTTAACTGTTGAAACTAAATTACGAATAAGATGCATGAACCCTTTCCTCAAATCTAATAGTGTTTGGAAAAAGACATGCAGATAACACAATTCTGTTTTATGTATATATATTATTTATGTGATAAATTTAGGGTAGAAGTGTCATTATCTAACATGGCATTTTGATGCAAATTTAAAAGGGAAAAAAGTTTATTTGCTTCTGTAATGCAACCAAGCATTATAACCTTGACTTGATGAGAAAAGCACAAGCTGAATTTTAGTTCTCCTATCACACTATGGGTCGGTACCGACTCGATGGCACCTAACAACAACAACAACATCTTGGCTGAAAGCAAAGAATACCAGAAAGATGTTTACCTGTGCTTTATTGACTACGCAAAGGCTTTCTATTGTGTGGATCATGACAAACTATGGACAACATTGCACAGTATGAGTATTCCGAACACTTAATTGTACTCTTGAGGAATCTGTACATGGACCAAAGGGCAGTTGTTCAAATAGAGGCTTAGGTCAGGCGAACCTTAGTCCTCAAGTTGACATCTCTGCTCTTCAACACATTAAAAAGGTCTTGTGCAGCAGATTTGCCTAATGCCATATATCTTGACTTCTGCTTCCGTGAGTGTTGATAGTTGATCCAAAAAGAATGAAGTCCTTGATATCGTCAATCTTTTTCTCCATTGATAAGAATGTTGTTTATTGGTCCAGTGGTGAGGATTTTTGTTTTCTTGACATTGAGATGCAATCCATACTGAAGGCTGTGCTCTTAGATCTTCATCAGTAAATGTTGTAAGTCCTCTTCACTTTCAGCAAGCAAGGTTATTATCATCTGCGTATTGCAGGTTGTCAATGAGTCTTCCTCCAACCCTGATGCCATGTTTTTCTTCACAGA